CAACTAGAATCTTTGAAGAATATACAAGAGAGGTTTAGTTATTTCTCGCTCTCGCTCATCCTGCGCACACTAAATTCCAGAGCCGACAAGCTAGCGAATTATGCACGAATAATTATGTCATTATTTTATGATTAGTCAAATGTTATTTAGAGATCTACTTACCATAAATTTGCATTGTTTAAAAAAATTCAAAAATTATCCAAACTTTTTTTTTCAAAAATCTGTAACTCTTGGAGATAACTATAAAACGGTTATATGCAAAAGATGCAACTCTTAATAAAACGGTTATAGTAAAAAGACACAACTTTTAAAAATAACTATTAACTGTTTTATGAAATGACAAAACCATGATACTCAACAATAAAGACAGATATATATCGAAAAGACGCAACCCTTAGAAATAATAACAAAGCGGTTGTATCGAAACACAACCTTTTAAAAAGTAGTTATATCGATAAGACACAACCGTTTGAAATCGAAAAGATACAACCCAAAAATACAAACATAGAACGTTTTTATCGAGAATATGTGACCTTTAGAAATAAGGGTAACCATAAAGCGGTTATATCAGAAAAGCGCATCCCTTGAAAAAGGTTTATAACGGAAAGACAACCTTTGGAATCAGCCATAAAGTGGTTATTTTTTAAATGAAACAACCCTTAGAAATAATCGTTTAATTTTATATCAAAAATAACGTAACTCCTGAAAAAATAGTTATATCGAAAAGACACAATCTTTGTAAATAACCATAAAACATTTATTTTCGAAAAGACACAATACAACAATATTCAATTTTAAATAATACATTAAATAACATTGATTTATATTTTAAATTTATTTTAAAAATTTGTAGAGTTGGATTACATATATGAGTTTTACTGTCAAATGTATAGTTTTTCTACAATACAATAAATTTTTATTTAATAAAATATAGTTAAAATGGTTAAAGTATTAATTGCATTAATTTATGATAATTCGAGTTTTATTTCGAGATCTTCTTGCCAGTTCATCGGTTGTGTGGTGTTTGTTTTCTTAATTTTTGGTTGTATATTTATCATTATTATGCTAATGTGATTGTCAAGTAATGTTCTTGGATTTGTTCCCATAAATAGTATTTTTATAATCAATCATCATTACATAACATTGATTGATATTAAATTTTTTTTTTTTTTAAATTGTGTAATTACATTTACACATATTTAAGAAAATAACCAATTTGATGTCATAAATAACAAATACTACTACATGGCAACAAATACTCACAAGACGATATAATTTTATATTTGGAAAATGAATCATGTCAATGAAAAACGCTTTTTCTTCCACACGCATTTCATGAACTGGAACCATAGCTCTTCCTCCAACCAATAGAACAATTTTTGGATTTTTTCGCTATTTAAATTTATTCATTTGTAATTTGGCATATGTAAATCGTGCAATGCATATAAAAATATAGTTGATACACAAATCGATTGTGGTGTCTTTTCATCTTGGTATTTTGTAGCAATATTTAGGCTGTTTCAATATTTTGATGTATGATGTATTGCTATGAAGATATTCATTTATTTGGATTTGCTATTAATTTTTTTACTTTGAAGATATTTAAAGCGCCCAACTTTTTCTCTAGCTTGTAGCCCACTAAAACTCAGGCTCGATTCTGAATACAAAATTAGGTATCAAGTCAAAAGAGTAGAGACGAGGCAGGTGTTTTGTGTGTGAGTGTGAGGCTATAACTAATTCAGTGTTTGGAGTTAGCCTTAGGGTTTACTTTTATTGCAATTGCTACAACTCGGTTCAGTAGTTGTTGGGATATAAAACCGAAGCTTCTTCTTCTTCATGTGAGAGAGATTAGCGGTTATGATCTTGTACATGTAATCCTTCTCTGATTTCTAGTGAAATCATGTGAGGGTTTGGTTAGTGAACTCGTAAATTTGTGTCACTATGTATTCCCTACTATCTTTTTTTTTCTTGATTCAAAGAATTTTGTGCGTTCAACTCGATTTATGATTTATTGGAGCTTTAATCTTGCAATTGAATGACCAAATAAAAGTGAGTCTCTTGCTTTCTCCTTTGTCCCTTTGTTGATATATAGGGACGACAAATATGACGATGCGACCCATCGGTCGATCGTACGTGTTCGGATCATACTGATGAATATATATAGCTTATATATAGATTTCCCCTTTTTAGGTTTATAAAAATGACAATCAAGAACCCACTTCCATGCCATGCAATTAAATAAAAAAGAAGTTCCACTCACCGATGAATAAAGGAGAATGACGAATTAAAAGTTCACAAGAAACAAAAAAAAAGAGCTTGTGAATTTATTATGATTCGTTTGTGGGTCTACATAGACATTCAGATTCTATGCGTTATTTTGAAGCAGCTGTTAAATTTTAGTTAGATGAACAATTCCGTATGTAGTATTCTTTCTTAAGTTTTTTTTTATTGTTTCTAAAAAAAAAAAGAGTTCCATAGTATTATTGGCTATGATGATTTGAAATCGGAGAACCAAACCCGGAAATAACCGAATTCTTAAAAGGAAACATTTCAAATACATAGAAGGATTAATAGATTATATAAGGAGTTTTGGCTATGATATATATATATAGATACATGATAGTGTTTAGAAGTTACAGGACGTGATGCTACTACACCTCTTGAGCAAGAAAGCATGACTAGAGTCTTGTTTGTGTAATATGATCTGATAACATAGCATCCTTAATCTTAGTTGTGGATTTGGAGGTCATGTCGGGTCCTCCTTGAGGTGCTGCGTCGATTAGAAGCTGAACGACTTCGTTCATGGTAGGACGGATTGTTGGAGTTCTGCTCGTGCAACGAATAGCTACACGCAAGGCGTTGATCATGTCTGCTTTCGACGACTCCGATAATCTCTTGTCTAATGTTTCCATCAATCCTTCTTTAGTATCAATCTTTGTTGACACCCAATTCACTATGTTTTTATTCTCCCCGAAGCACGCATCCACTGGTTTCTTCCCCGTGATCAGCTCCATTAACACCACCCCGAAACTGTACACATCGCATTTGATCGTTGCTTTGGAGGAGTATGCATATTCTGCCATTACCAAATGCATATATATCATCAGCACGTGTATACCATTGCGTGAACAAGTGTTAGTTTGATCAATAGATTGTTCTAGTTACAATGACGATCATATGTAGCCAAGAAGATCTTATTGTTTTTAGTATTTCCATTGCTCATAAAATTTGAGTAAGGTTTATAGAGGCATAATCACCTGGAGCCAAGTAACCATAAGTGCCCGCGATAACGGTTGTGGTTGAATCTTTGCTTCTAGCCTGCAACACCTTTGCAATGCCAAAGTCTGCAACTTTAGGCTGATAGTTTATATCCAATAATATGTTTGTGGATTTGATGTCACGATGAATGATTGGCGGAGAGAGATCATGGTGAAGGTAAGCCAATCCTTGAGCGACTCCAACCGCGATTTGATGACGAGTTGGCCAATTGAGATGAACCAAGCCTTTGTGAAGAGCGTCCCATAAGTTACCATTAGGCATGTACTCATACACCAAAAGACTACAGTCCAAACTTGAGAAGTAGCTAAAGAGCTTGACAATGTTCTTATGGCGAATGCTCCCGAGTGTCTCAACTTCGGTTTTCAACTCTTTGTTCAAATGCAATCTGTCTTCAGAAGCTGAATCTTTGCTGCTTTGGCTCCATAGTTTCTTCACCGCAACTACTTCTCCCGATTTGAGCTCAACTCTGTAGACCGTACCAGAGCCACCGTGACCTACAATATTCTTGTCCACCAGGGCTTCGAGAATCTCCCTTTGGTCGAAACTTATGCGGTGGAAACTCTTAACGTCGTAGGAGAAGAAAGAAGAAGCTAAGGTCTCGTCTTGCTCAATCACTGCTCTGTTTTTACTCAACCGTTGTCTCAAGTAAACCATGATGACCCCTAGGACTAGGATGAAGACTGAGACAAGGATTGCCCATATCGAGCTTAGCTTCTTTTTGCTGCGAGCCTCTTGACACAACGGAAACTTTAAATCCGATGAGCCAGCATTTGGCGGAACACAGAGTTTAGGGTTATCCGAAAAGCTTTCTACAAGACCTCCTCTTATCAATGAGACAGGGATGGGACCAGAGAGCTGATTGCTGGATATATTGATAGAGGTTGGCAGCAACTCGGAGAGGTCTTCAGGGATTGCTCCGGTGAGGAGATTACTGGACAGATCAAGAACGTTGAGGGATTTGAGATTAGAGAGCGATTCAGGTATCGAAGAATCCAAGTGGTTGCCTTGCAGCACAAGTAAGTTCAGTTTCCTCAGTCTTCCGATCTTTGAAGGTATTGGACCAGATAGTTGATTGTTGCTAAGATCAAGCTTCACAAGGTTGGTGGCACGAGAGATCTCACGAGGTATAACACCGGAGATTCTATTACCCTGCATAAACAGCTCTGACAAATTCCAGGCGTTTCCGATTGAACTAGGTATTGGACCGGACAATATGTTGTAAGCCAAGTCGATGATTGAAACATGAGGCAGAGACAAAACTCCTTTCGGTATGTCTCCCACGAGGCGGTTGCTCGCTACACGGAACCGTATAAGAGTCTTGCAGCTCCCATAAGTCTCGGGGATTGAACCGGAGAACTTGTTTTGTAGGACAAGAAAGTAGAGAAGGTTGCCGGATTTGCAAACTTGGGCTGGAAGAGAACCCGAGAGAAGATTTTCCGAGACATCAAGAGCGATCATAGGCGAGGAAGATCCAAGATTTGGCGGGAGTTCACCGGTTAAGTAGTTGTCGTAGAGAGACAAGATCTTTAAGGTTTTTGAGTTGCCAAGTGACTTGGGAATCTGACCTGTTAAGCTGTTGTTGTAAAGCTGAAGCACTCGGAGTTTTGGAAGGCTGCAGATTGATTCCGGTATGCTTCCGGTTAGCCTGCTAACCGAGATATCTATGTCCGTAAGATTCTTGAGATTACCGATTTCCTCCGGAATGCTCCCAGTTAAGTGATAGTTATAGTAAAGCTCAAGCTGCCTCAAGTTGGAAAGATTCCCGATTTCTTTTGGAATCTCGCCGGAGAGGAAGTTTCCGCTAAGTTCGAGATCAACAAGGGAAGTCAGATTCCCAATGGATCTCGGGATATTGCCGTGGAGCATACACGTCATGAGGAGCATGTGTGTTAGCTTCTTGAGGTTGGAGACATAATCCGGAAGAGTCCAGAGATGGAGCTCTGGGTTCTCATTGAAATTGAGATACTCGAGATCGGTGAGGTTGAAAATGGAGAGCGGAAAGCCACCGGTGAAATGGTTCCATGACATGTCGATGACTCTTAGAGATTTCATGGGGGAGAAATCAGGGAGAGTGGCTTTGAGATAGAGAGCGCTCAAGTTCAGCTCTCGAAGCATAGAACAATTAGGGATGGTGTGGAGGAAGCTACTGCTTCTGTTGAGATGGTTATGAGAGAGACGAAGAACACGGAGGTTTGGGAGGTAAGAGCAAATCCCATCTGGGAAAATCCCGGAGAGGGACCGACCGGAAAGATCAAGATCCGTGACTAGCCCTTCACCGTCGCAGATTACGCCGCTCAACTTACAGTTGTCAGCTGAGAGATTCCAAGAGGACAAAGCGTTTCCGGAGAAAGAGTTTCTCATAAGCTTGAAGAACTGAGGTTGTTGGTTCGGACTCATCAAGCCCCATGATAGGTTGCTGTTGAAGCTAAAGAAGAAGAGAACAAAAAAGGGGAAAAATCTGAGACGCATTTCTGGGAAAGGAACCAGAAGGAGTTAACTTAGGATGCAAGGAAGAGAGATCAATCTTGGGTTCGAGAGAAAAAGAGAGGAAGAAGAAGCTTACAAGTTGAAAGACTGAAATTGATAGGCTTATAAAAACAAAACAAGGGTTCATGATTTTTGTATCCGATCAGAATCAGATAGATGCATTTTACGTGAAAAGATAGATTAAAATAATAATATAATCCAAGAAAAAGGAGCATACATATCTTTCCTTTGCATAAAGAAGCTTTATATATATACCCACTAAGTTATTGTAGAGAATAACTTAGAGGTGTATGTAGCCAACTTTATACCCCCACAGCTTTACTTTTATTTTTATTTTTATCACAAAAGAAGAGTTGAAATATGATTGAATCTGATTCTATAGAGTGCATGATCACCTGTCCAAGAACCTAGCTATTGTCTCGACATGTTTTTTTCTCTGACCTTTTTTTGGATGGACATTGGACACAACCAAGCATGACTGTTTTGCTATAATATATAAAAACATTTTCTCGCCATTAATACTTTATATTATTTTTTTCCGAAATAGATTTGGAGCTTGCTTCAAACATATGTCCCATAGAATCGGTACACGTACATATGAGTGAGGCATTTTAAAACTAAAAACTAATTATTATCAATT